GATCAGCTTGCCATGTTTCATCAATCCCTCGAATGTCAACATGTCGACGAGGATAATTTCTTTGAGCTAATCTATGAAGCTTTTGAGCTATAACACCTTTTTCATTAGCCATTTTAGTATGAGCATGTGAAAATTTGTCTACTTTGGTGACTGTCACTATCTATACTAACTTCAATGTTATTTTATCCATCATTATATATGTCGTAGACAGATCGTGAAATTAGACAGTTCGTAAACTGTCTAAGCATTTCTAGACAGTTCATGAACTGCAGCCAGATCGTGTAATGGTCGATCAGTTACACGAAGTGGCTAAAATTTTTAGACAGTTCATGAAATGCAATTAAGCCTTAGACAGATCGTGTAATGTTCCAAAATTACATGATATGTCTAAATTTTTTAGACAGTTCATGAAATGTCTAATAGCTGTTTTGCCGATCGTGAAATATACCAAAAATCTTGTTCCAGCTGGCTCGCAGTTCTTTGAACATGATGACATAATCTTGGAAAAACTTCTTTCTTTTAGAGAAGCAGTGAAAAATTGCAGTGGAAGGCAAGGATTTTTTCAATGCTCATGCAGAGCTTCTGACGTGCAATGTACTACAAAAAGGTGTGCATTCAAAAAAATTAACGTTTTGTGTGATAGTAGATGTTGGCTGCTACAACTAATATCTTGTAACGTTTCCAATTTGGAACCCTTGCTGGATTGGACAATTGTTTGACCTTTTGACCACTCACAAGGCAAAATTTGGGCAACTTGAACAGCAATTGGGGCCAGAGAGGATATATGATTTTTCAGAAAGAGAGATTATCATCAGCGATTTCCGTTACTTCGTTGGTGATGAATTTTTATCACCAACGAAGCCGTAATATTAAAAAAAAAAAGAATTTTATTAATTAATTTTTACGAAAACGTTACAATCTCATCTTTTTTCAGTTGTTTTCTTTTTAGAAATCCGTTGTTCCTAGATATTTCACGATCGGCAAAACAGCTATTGGACATTTCATGAACTGTCTAAGAAATTTAGACATATCATGTAATTTTGGAATATTACACGATCTGTCTAAGGCTTAATTGCATTTCATGAACTGTCTAAAAATTTTAGCCACTTCGTGTAACTGATCGACCATTACACGATCTGGCTGCAGTTCATGAACTGTCTAGAAATGCTTAGACAGTTCACGAACTGTCTAATTTCACGATCTGTCTACGACATATACTTTTACTATAATAATTATACACTCAACTTCAATCATATTTTTTAAGTGATTATTATGTATATATAATTAGTAATCATTTATTCTTATCACTTATAATTGCTAGTCACAATTTTATCCAATAGTTGAGGTAGTGGATTGTCAGCCATTACAATGTATAAGGTGTTTTTTGGATTACGAAAGTATTTGATCATTCGATAATTCATACCAGGTCGTAATCATGCTCCTAAAAATTCTGGAATATCACTCCAAAACTTATTAGCTATAGTATTAGGACCAATGATACCACCGTGAGCAGACAAATAATTGATATAACACGACTCACTGGAATTTGCAATAAAGATTTTATCTTGAAAAGCAGCAATAGCATTCCATTTAGCAGTTCGAGTAAAAGTAGATGTTATCTTCCACAGATTCTGCTGATCACAATGCAAACTGACAGTGCATAGCCCAAAACCGTTATTACCACGGGCTAATGAAATTTTTTCACGATGTTCTTTGATAGTGTCTTCTACTGACCAAAATTGAACGAAGAGATTACCATAAATTTTAATGTATCTATTTTCCAAGATTTCACATTCACTCATAGTACTTCTTTCACTGTAATATTCCTCTTCCATTATTGTTTTTACTTTATGGATACTCATTTTTCTACAATCCACTCTTTTCAACAGCTTACTGATGAATGATGATGCTGATGATTTTGTCGAGCATTCTAATAAACAATTTGAGCCTCACGTAACTCTTCAATAATAGAGATTATTTCATTTGAGTGACTAGTGTTACCAGCAACCTGAGATGCTGTTAGTAAGCGAAGTCTATCAACCAGTTCATTAGGATCATCCCAGTAAACATAATCAATATTTTTTTGTTTTCTAGAAGCTGTCATAAAATTAGGTAACCCTTGACCCTCTATGAAT